CACAGTGGACTGAAAATTTCGAAAATGGTAAAAATTAACCCTACATTACAAATAAAATAGGAATGAGAAGATTCTAATCTGTGTAAACTAACCTAAAATGTGAAAATTTCAATGCTCTTCAATGCCCTTCAATGCCAATACTTCAATGACACAGATAGATGGATGAAGCTTTTGGGGAGGAACGGTGGAGAGTGTGAGAGATGGGTGTGTGTGTGAGAGGGGTCTCACGGGTGTGTGTGTGTGTGAGAGGGGGTGTGTGTGTATGATTTACATTTGGGGGTATATGTGGAATGATAGGTGTGTGTAGTGAGTCAAATATATTAGGATTTATTTTTTTAGTGTGTGTATTAAGAAAGATTTGTATAGAGAGGAAAGGGTGTGTGTATATAGAAGCTCCTCCTCTCATCCCATTAATACAGCATCATCAACACATTAATACAGATCCTCTCATCCTATTAATACAGATCCAACAAATACAGATCTATTTCTATACACTACACAGACAGATCCAACAATCCAACAATCACAAAAACAAAAAAAAAAAATATTCTATACACAGATCATCAAAAAAGAGAAAAAAAAAAACAACACACATCTATATATATATTTATATATATTTAAGAGAAAGAGAGAGAGAGTTGGGATGAGAGGATATGTATTAATGTGCTTCCTCTTTCTTGCCATCATAACAAATACAGATCTATATATATATTCATCTTTTTCATCTTCTTCTTCGTCTCCTTCTTCTCTTCCTCCCCCTTCTCTCATCTTTTCTCCTCCTCTCTCAGCTCTACATGCTCTCTTTCTTCCTGTTTCAAAAAAGAAAGAGAATAGAAATAAAAAGAGAAAAAAAAAAAATAATAAATAAATAAAATTCAAAACGACGTCATTTTAAATTTCCACCGATTCAAGTCAAACGGGATTCTGAGCCCTCAACCATTTTTCTGTATCAATTCTTCTGAGTTTGGCCATTGTTAAACTCAACCGGGTGTGAGACACAATTCAAGAACCTAAGAATATTGGGACACAATTCTTTATATTTGCAAATCAAACTCTGAATTTCCACCAAGCTACTCTGTAAAACTCACCCAACCAAACCCACCCACTTAAAATGTCACTCTCTCTCCTCCTCCTCCTCACTCTCTCTCTCCTCTCCACCAACCCACTCTCTCTCTCCTCCACCGCAAACCCACCAGACCGCTTCATCAAATCAATTCCACCACACCAGTCTCTCCGCCACTCCAAACCCCAAGAATACATCGAACTCACCCACCCACTTCCCTCCGATCACCTCATCCCTTCCTTCTCTCTCCAAATCCTCCACCACTACTTCGCCGACACCATCGGCCGCCCACCCATCTCCGCCCCCTACTCCCCTCCCTCCGCCTGCCCTCCTCCGTGGTCCTCCGTCGTCCTCCACCTCCAAGCCTCCTCCTACGGCGACCAGTACGACCGCATCGCCGCAATCTGGCTCGCCGGCGCCGAGATCCTCCGCACCAGCACCGCCGAGCCCACCCCCGACGGCGTCTTCTGGAATGTCCGCAAGGACGTCACCAGGTATGTCTCGTTGCTCCAACGGTCGAATCTCACTCTAACTGTCATGCTCGAGAACGTCGTTAACGACGTCTTCACCGGCGTTTACGACGTTCGTCTCACTCTCTTGTATTACAAAAGTAACCCCGTTAGGGTTCTGTCATCGGCAGATCATCATCACAACAAATTGAGTAGGAAATTAGGGCTTTTGAAGGATTACAGATGTGTGGATAGCAAATTAGGGTTTGAGTCTGAGAAATTTAGGGACAATACAGTGATTGTGCATGAAGAAAAACAGAGAAATTCATTGAATTTGTATGAAACTCCGGCGGATTTGATAATTCCCATATCCAATGTGGTTGAGAATGAAGGGTTTTGGTTCAGAATCGAGAGCGAATCGGGTGTTCGTTCCAAGGGGGTTAAGATTCCTCCGAATACTTACAAGGCTGTTCTTGAGATTTATGTATCATTTCATGGAAATGATGAGTTTTGGTACTCTAACCCACCCGATTCATATATCAGGATGAACAATTTGACCACCGGGCGAGGCCATGGAGCCTATAGGGAGGTTTTTGCAACAATTGATGGGAGTTTTGTTGGGTCTGTGATTCCATTTCCGATCATATTCACTGGCGGAATCAATCCACTGTTTTGGGAACCTGTTGTCGCGATTGGTGCGTTCAACGTTCCTTCGTATGATTTCGATTTGACTCCATTTTTGGGGCTTGTTTTGGATTGCAAGACTCATTTGTTTGGGCTTGGAGTGGCTGATAGCATTCCATTTTGGCTTGTTGATGCGAATTTGCACCTGTGGTTGAGTCATGGCTCATCGGCAATCAATGCAAAATCTGTTCATACACATACTCCGTCTCTTTCAATCAAACGCAGCTCGGTTTTTGATCAACTTGATGGATCATTTGAAATAAGAGCAAAGAGGACGAGTCGATTCTTGGGGTGGGTGAAATCAAATGAAGGGAATTTGACTACTCATGTCTTGCACCATCTCAACTTCAAGAACTCGATAAGGTTTGAGAGAAATGGAACATATAAATTAGTTCGGCAAAAAGTGAAGACAAAGACTGAAGTGAAGGTAGAATCTGAGATGGGTTTGTTGATTGGTCGCGTAAGGATCAAGAGGAGATACCCTCTTAGAGTGATCACCTCAACTCTACCCGGATCAAGAAGCAATGTGTATAAGATGGTCACAAATGTTTCTCATTCATTGACAGAGAAATTGTCTTGTGGATGCTTCTCAAGATCTTTACGTAACAGTCAAGATTCGCGGGGATGGATGGTGGTCAAGGATCATGATGTTCTCTCTGGATCGGCCAACACTGACCAAAGTTTCAGTTATATGGATGAGTTTGGTTGCTACTCTCGGGTTGTTTCAGCTACTGATGGCAAGCTCGTCAGTGACAACATGACATTCAGTTGCCCATCGTCATTTTAGTTTTGAATCATTTTCTTTTTCTACACTGCCATGGATTTAATAATGCTTACCACTCCAAGGTCGGAGAGCAAGGATTGAAATCAATCTCATTTCCAACCCAGTAAGATCATGTGCCCTCTTGAAGAGGTACTTGTTCTGAAGCAATCGTGGTAAATATTTCCAATGGGTCTATGTGAGCATGTATGTGTAATGTAAGTGAATAATTCTTGTCTTTTACCATGACATTCCACTCTGTTTTTCCTTTTATTAAGTTGGCATGCAAAAGAGGGCATTTGTAAAGCAGAAAAATGAATATAAAATGTAATAGCATTGATTCTCTTGATGCATGAAGTTTTCTTCTACATGATTCTATAACAGATGTTTGTGTAAGGTCATTCTCTAGCCTAAGGCTGCAAACGAACCAAGTTATTTATACTTAAAGTTCTTTCATTTGTACATTGGAATTGAGCTTTAACCTAAACTTGACCTAGATAATTATTCAAATTGAGCTTCAACCTGAATTTGAGGTAGATAATTAAAATGAAATGAGCTTAAGCTTGAATAAGCTCAGCTTAATTGTTATTTGTGTATATTTTAATATAAAATTGTAAGAATTTATGTATTATTGATTGATGTCTTGATTGATAGATAACCTAAACTTGACCTAGATAATTATTCAAATTGAGCTTCAACCTGAATTTGAGGTAGATAATTAAAATGAAATGAGCTTAAGCTTGAATAAGCTCAGCTTAATTGTTATTCGTGTATATTTTAATATAAAATTTACATGATAATATAAAATAATGCAACTTTCGCTTTAAGCTTTCGAGCTGAGTTGGAGTCTGAATTTATCTGTGTGTAAAATGATGATTAATAACTGAGCCGAACTTGAACACTACAGTTCATAGGATATATAGCTGCTACACAATTGCAGCAGGGAAAATGTCTCGTAACTCAAATTTTGTGGCTCAAAAGTGGTTCAAATGGCCAAAATGACGTCGTTTTGGCCATTTTTATGTTGTTCTGTACTCAAAACGACGTCGTTTTGGCCATTTGAGCCACTTTTGAGCCACAAAATTTGAGCTACGTAGCATTGTCGTTGCAGCAGTTACTGAATTTGAGGATGTTTTTTTACTGCAACTATCTTAACCCTTAATTACACAAAGATAAATTCAAGTAGATTTTCAGTTTTGCCCCTAATAATAATAATAATAATAAATAAATAAATAAGTTTATTTTCAGTTGAATACTCCAAGAGGAGTTATTGGATTTTCCCACCAATTTCAGAATAACTTTCGACCCACATGCATGAACAATTAGATTAACCATCCAAAATGATTCACTTGTAGTGTGCTCACAAAGGAATTCCCTAAACCTTGTCTTTTGCAACTGTTGCTAACCTCAAAATAACCTTGAGTCTTAAAGAAGCATAATCCAACATATTGGTCGCTAAATTTTTTGGAGCTTACTAAATTAATTGTGGTGGGTTTCTCAAGAGGGTTGCACACTTGTAATTGTATTATATATAACATTTGACAGGTGATCTGCTCTTTCCTTTTTGGGAAAACGGTTTTTTATATTTTCTAACATTTTGGTTTGACAAAAATAAAAAGACAACTGAAAACAAAAAGTTTTTTGTGGTTAATGAAAAAATGAGTTGATTTGGATATAAACCATTTTTCGCTTTTTACTAATGCCATCACCATTGTCACCACTACTGCCACAATCCCAACTCCACCTCCACCCCACCACACCGACACCTCCACTACTATCACCACCACCCCTACCACTACTTACCACCGTTGCCGCTGGCGCTGGCGCTGCCACTGCCACTACCATAACCACCAGTATCATTATTTTCAAGTTCATAATCAAACACAAGAAAGCCGGGTGACTTTTGAACTATAATTCGAAGGAGAGTTCATAATGGCAATACCACATCACCAAATAACAGTTACTCCTGTACTCATGGGTATAAGTGCTAAGTGCTATCTCTTAAGCTTTCCTCAAAACTCTTCCAAAAGCAAACCACAGAAGGTTCAATAACTCGGTCAATTGGATTATCAAATCATTTTTCATTATTGCCCGCAAATGCTGTTACAATTTTTTATTTTTATTTTCCATGCTAAAAACAAATGAAATGAATTCATGTCTTGCCACCACAAATTTCTATTCTTCGGGAAAATCTCTGAAGGGGAAAAAGAATATGCATTTTTCCTTTTCTAACTCTGCAAAAGAGAAGATACAACATGGAGTGTTCACACAAAAAAAACAATTGGTGCCTTTCATTATATCCTCATTTTGCCATCGGGACGCCAAAAACCTTTCTTACCAACAAGGAACTGTTCTTGATGTATGGTTATTGACCAGTGAAGCGAACGTAGAATTTGACCAAGACTGTTGATCATTTTGACTGTGTCTTGAACCAAAACAAATCCACCTGGTCTCAATATGCGATCCATCTCAACAGCCACAGCTGTCATTTCACATCTGAAAAGAAATTGCAAAGAACTCAAGTCACGATAAAAAGCCAAAAACCTGGTAATTAGGAATGAAACACTCGTGGGAAGTGGCTGTGTTACCTTTGAGTTATGTTTCTGAAGAGGAAACTGGAATGCAGAAGATCGTAAGTTCGAGGATAGGTATTCAAAGACTCACACCAGTCATGATAGACTCCAATCAGCCCTCTATCGAAGATAACAGATAAAGTATCTGGCCCAGAGACTGGTATTACATTCATTACCCACAGAGGTCGATCAATAATTGCTGCCGCAAATCTGTAACCAATGTATAGAACAACTGAAATGATAACAAGGTAGAAGGAAGTATAACTAATTGAATAAATTGATGTTCCTTACCCTCCATAACCAGCATTCATATCCATTACATTCCTCACTCTTGACCAGTCTATACCAAGGCGGCTTTCCAGATAAACATCTGAGACAAGTGCAGACCAGTGTTTGGTGTCCTCATAAAAGATTTCTTCAGCATCTCGTTTAGTTGATAGGCTTGGAGGTTTACTGTTAAGCCTTTGAGGCCATGGGGCGGGCCAGCTAACCACTGCTGGCAGCAGGGCAAGACAACTGTCAAGGGGCACATACCTGTTCATGAATATAAATAACATTAACATTGATAATAATCACACTAATAATAGTTATTTAGCCATAAAAATATGTTGTGCCAAAAGTATACCATGAACTGTTTGGCCTACTGTTTTGATCACATAAAGGTGGCTTATTGTCCTTGCGTATTTTATAGCAGGAAGATGAAACAGGTTTCTGATATATAACCATCCCAATACCAGATGAATCAAAAGTTTTTGCCACTACCTTCCAGCATAGAGATTCAGTCAGAACCACCATAGCTGCAAGAAACAGGGAACACAAAATGGTAGTCAACTTCTAGAGCAAACCCTTCCGCAATAGCACAAAAATTTACACAACAAATATATTTTAAAATTACAATGGTAGATGAGAATTCAATCACGAAAAGCAGTGGTCACTATCGGGAGATTAAAAAAAAAAAAAAAAACTACAAAGAAAAGATAGTGAAGCAGGAATACGAACAGTTCCAGACATTCTGATCTCTTTTATCATCGCGGTATACTGGTGTAGCAGACCAAACAAAGAGCCCTCCAGGCCTAAGGATCCTGTTGAGTTCCAACAGTGGTTTTCCACCTACAGTTTTCAAAGAAAACCATCAAAAACAACATAACAAGAGGACGGATGAATTACAAAAAAAGAACTAAAAAAGGGTTATACAAAGTACCATCTGCATCCCAGTGAACCCTGCATCGTGCACAGTGAATCATATCATATGCATTATCAGGAAAAGGCAGCCTTTTTGTTCCAATGACCGAGAGAGTAGCAGGAATTCCCCGCTCAAGAGCAAATTGTATCTGAGCCTCATGTTCATCCTTTGGTGCAAATGACATGGTGATAACATCTTTGTCCAACAAATAGCCACCAAAACTAGCAACGCCACAACCTACATCTAAAATAACCCTTGCGTGCTTTCCCCATTTAATTTTAGGTAAAGTCTGGAGTAAAGCAAGGAAAACAAAGTCAGTATTAAGTAACTTATAGCTAAAAACAAATGAAATGCATAGCTTTTAACCAATTGCAAATCAAGATAAACAAAATAACACATAAATGTATCATACAAACTGTTAGTTAAATTACGTCATTACTAAAAGTTAAAAAACACCGTGCCGCCAATATCAACAATGAAGCACAGTGTGTCCTAGTTGGCCGGCCACAAAGGGGGTGTTAATTGATGTTGCTTCTTGGGGTGGGGATAACAAACAGTAAGAAAACACTTTCATCTATACAATGCAATATGATGCCAGCTTACTGAGTGACGCAACTTTCTTTTCTCACGTATCCATCTGATAAAATATAAATATGAAAATTTAACTAGGTTTCAGGGCTATAGTTGCATCTAGTAATAGACCTTATGTTCCCAACCTTTTCTTTTGTATAAACTCTGGAACAGAAACAGGGATCATTTTTGGTTACTTCGCATTTTGAGCTAACATCTCTCCATCCAATTACATTTACATGAAACTAAATTTGAGAGATTGTGTTGACAAACCATAAAAGACACTACCACCATTCCCTATTAGTATATTTGTCTTCTTCTTAGACATCTGCAAGGAGATCTTTTGTGGGCATGGGCACCCAACAGCAATCTTAGTAGAAGAAACCAAAGTCAAGGTCATCTTCTCTTTTAAATGGAATCTACACAGACTTAGTGGATGATATATTCTTAAAAAAAGAGCATTGAAGCATTTATGACACACAGTATGACACAAATGATCACCTCCTGGACCCTCATGTAGCAGCCCTGGATCTAATCAAGGGGCACAAGGGATTGGCTACTTCCAGACCCCTCTATCTAAATACGTGCACGTGTCACATTTCACAGTTGTCATTCAAGTCTAATACGGTAACATCTTTCATCATGATGGATGCTAAAGACTAGCACTGATGTCTGTGACTTTTTTTGTGGTAAAGGTGGACTTTAGACTTTTACAGCCATTTTACATGAAAAGATAAAAGGTCCCAGGTTAAGTTCATTTAAATGGAGATGGATATCTGGTCACATGCGACAATTAAATACAAGAAAAAGAAGTCAAGCACAGAGGAGCATTCTATTATAGCTTTAGAAAGTCGAATAAAAAAAAAAACTTAAGCCTACAAGTTCATGTAATACCTTTCCTATGAACTCAATGTAGTGAGTAACTCCATCCTTAAATTGAGTACCGCCTCCGGGGAAAACAAGATAGTCACCAGACTTGCGCACCCAATTTTGGTCCTTCTTGTATTCAACAAGCTTAGGGTGAGGAACATTATTAAACCATATCTGGAAACAGATATTTCAAATCCCAAAACTATGTTAGATTGGAACAAAAGCATCAAGGAAATTTATGAACAAGGTGAAACTTTCCTAAATATAATTTAATTCCCCCTCTTTTACTTAAAAGTTAAAAGAATCATACAGATTTATATTTTGGGTGAAAGAACTGTCCTTCGTGTAAATGAAAGTAACTTAACAATATTACAAAACCACACTTCAAAAGGTGAAAAAGAAAAGTATGTTATATTAAGTTAATTTTACATCAAAGATTAACAAGTTTAAGCCGACACAAAGTAAAAAACAGATATCCATTTGTAACTAAATATTCAAATTGTTACCTATTCCAACCAACAAGTGACATGACTTTACTGGACAATTCATCTTCTGTAACTGCCTGTTTAAATTCAATCCGATGCATGGCTGCAAGAGTTTGGCTCAAATTCAACAAGAAAACCAGTGTTCTACATCTGGATTAGACAATAACAGGTCTAACAACAAAAAGGAAAGTGTTCATGAATTTGAGCTGTTGGTTTTTTCATGAATTGTGGTGGTGATTTTACATATAGGGCTTGTTTATTGGGTGGACTATAGCATATGATTGGGATTATGAATCCATGGGACTCACATTCCATTGTTTGATTGCAAATTTTATTATTCGGATTATATTCCAATGGCCATTCTATAAAACAAAATTGACCCATTTTTTAATCCTACAACTAATAACGCAAAACATCCATATAATTGGGATTATATATTTCCACATCTATTGCAAAACAAACATGGACAAGAGAGAATTATGTATCTCACTAATTAAGCTGGATAATCAATACTACACTAATCACGTGGATTTTTAATCCTTTCAATATCAATCTTGCTAATCATACAGGCGCATAAGATTAAATTAGAGTTCTAGTCAAAGAGTATTTCATATTGGCAATATGTTTTATTTTTTCAAACCTTACAGTTTACCTCAAAGCCCCAGATTTGGCATGCAAGTTGAGACAAGACAAAAGTATTCACCACATTATCTAGACAAAATCACAATTTTGAAACTACAAATTTATGTGAATATCAATTTTCTAAAATTTAATTAAGTAATCACTCTTGTGAACCTGTCAATTAGCAATCAAACTTACAAACACACTCATTTTCAATTTATGTCAAAGCTCAGATGTGATTGAGCTAATACACATGACTCTTCTTGTGAAAAACTCAACACTCACTGCATTTTTTTTTCCGACTTTTTCGAATATGATCCGAGAAAATTAAAACTCGAACCAATCTTACCAAAGTATCAATCTCACCATATCCCTGCTCTTAGGCCACGGAACCGGAACCTTATATCCAGGAGGAAGAGGAAGCAAGCACTGCAGACTCCGGTCAGGGCAATGGCGCTCTCTGTGCTCCATATGCCTCCTCGATTTCAAAGACTTTATGGCCTTGAAATTGTCAAGACAAGGAATGTAATCAACCGCAACTACACCATCACAGAGCCTCCAACTCAAATTCACATCATCAGCCTTGGGTGAAAAACGATCGCGATCTTCTTCAGGTGGTGTTGTCTGTGTGCTAGGGTTTGAGAGCACCGGTGGAGGCGAAGATTGAGATTGAGATTGAGATTGAGGTCGTGATTGGGCGAGATCGGTGGTGAAATTGATAGGGGATTGAGAGGAGGTGGACAAGAGAATGAATGTGACAAAGAGGAGGAGGACGAAGAGAGAGAAGACGAATGGATATTTGCGCTCCTTGATGAGGTTTTGGACTGAGATAGCCATTGTTAGTCTGTAGAAGCTCCAAATTTTGTTTTTCAATCGGAAAGAGCAAGTGAATCAGTACTGAGATCCGATTGTTCGAAGCTGAGACGAAAGAACCAATTAGGTGATTGAGACAGATTGAAGAGAGAGAGGGAGAGATCCAGAAGATGGTATTGCGGTAATTGACTGGGGAGATTTCGAAATGTCGTTATCGCAGAGAACAAGAGGGCCCCGCCAAAAGCCATGCAGGGGAGGCTTGTTTAGGGCGGTTTTGACGTGATAAGGGCCGTTTGGGAACAAATTTTTTTTTAATAGTTTTTTAATTTTTTTTATTAAAATATGTTGTTAAAAAAATTCGTATATTTTGAAATAATTTTTTGATTTTTTTATAAAAAGATGTGTAAAAAATAGGAAGAAAAGAAATTTTTTGACTTTTTAGTATAAATTGTTAGCTTTTTGATTTTTTTAATAACTTTTTGACTTTTTGACTAAAAGAAATACTTGCCAAATAAGGCCTAAATATTTGTTTGGTGGTTTTTTTTTTCTTTAATTTTTTAATTATTATATATATATATATATATAATAAATTTAAGCTGGGGAAATAAATAAACTTGAAAAGGATGGTGTAATTTTTTAAAGTTGGCAAAAATAAGGTTACAAGTTTTTATATTAATAAATGGAAAATGATACAATATAAGTTCACATTTTACATTTATTTTTTAGATTCAACAATGTTTAAGTGATATAATTTGTTAATGATTATAGAATATATGAAAGAGAATGTGAGAGGGAGTTTTTATATGCACTAGGGTCGAGCTAGGCTAAGGTGCGTTGGTGGGCCGATCTTTGGGCCGCTGTAAAAAGGGCCAAGAGGAAGGACCTTGCAGTTAACTTGGTCCAGTTGTAAATACAGTTACCACGGTCGGTATGGTAATAGTTAGCTCGATCATGGTATTCAGAACCAAGGTATTTGGGCTTCTTATGGTAGGCCTAGCTCTCGTTAGCTCGGTCTCGACAGACCAAACCGAGCTATAAGCAATAAAGGGAAGAACTGACCTAGTTGGAGCTCGGTTATTTCTGCCGCTTTAGCATGGCTATGTTAGCTCGGTCGTTTTGTCATACTACCGAGGTAAAACCATCTCACTTAGTTTAAGCAGTGAGGGGGGTGTTGAATGATAAGCATTATCTTTCAGGAGTGTAATTCCTAGGAGGACTCTACATGGAGGAATAAGAGTTCTACTAGGATTGTGCCACACGGAACCTATAAAAGCTCGTAACAGAACCTGTGGAAGAGGTAACACAACTTTGATTCTCAAATACACAGAGCTCTTGTCTATTTGTCTATTTTGCTAACTTAGGCATCGGAGAGGTATCCAGCACACACCCACCGGCTAGCTCACGTTTGTGTTTTCAGGGAGTAAAGCGACGACATTTGAAGGAGCGCAAACTTAATCAACAGGATTATACGAGAACATTATTTCTTGCTCGTACAATTGGCGCCGTCTGTGGGAATTCCAAAAAGAACAAAACCTCTTGATCGAGTTTCCTTCACTAGTTGAAGTAATGGCGCACAATAAAGACTTGACGCAATCTGCCATTGATGGGCAAACCCCGGAGGGAGGTGGAAGGTGCGAATGCCTGCCTTCTATCCCTCCCATGGCGGATTTAGAGCCCCAGCGACAGAACCCCCGAAGGGATGCAAGGGAGAGGTGGGCTAACAACTCCCGTCACTCTCAAAGTCCTGAACGACAGAGGCAGAGGTTGGACCCTCAAGTCTTGGAGGATCACGTAAAGGAACAGAACGAGTTAATAAGGAAGATGGCGGCAGACATGGAGTTGATGAAGTGCCAGATAAAAGGAAAAGTGGTGGCGACAGGAAAGAGGCGCAAAGGCAACACGCCCCTTCGCCACTCGGAAGGCCGTGGTAAGCATACCACACCATCGCAAGCAGGGAGTAGGAGCCTTAAAACAGGCGACACTCAAACAAGGACGTCCAGGACTCGTTACTCCAGGTCTGAGAGAACGAGAACTGAGAGGTCATATACTGAAGGAAGCACCTATCGGCCCTCGCGCACACACCAGACGTTATCCAGGCAGACGAAGTTGCCTAGATCATCCGATTTGCAAACTGTGCTTGAAGAAAGGGCACGATGGAAGGAGGATATCAAGGCGCGCGACCAGCGCAGAGTTTCAGCCCTTTAGCGGTTGGCTCCTCGGACGCATGGGAGCGTCGAGGTAGGAATGCCAATACCGCGCCTTGCTTACGAACCAACAAACAAAGCATTAGCAAGGTTATAGAGCTCGCCGTTTGTTTCGGCAATTGAGAACGCACCACTACCTTCAGGCTTTCTCTAGCCCAAATTCATTACTTATGAAGGCAAGACAGACCCCTACATGCACCTAAGCCACTTTCGCCAGGTTATAGCAGTATACCGGCGGAACAAGGCTTTGATGTGCATCCTATTCCCATCCAGCCTTGGCGACCTAGGTCTAACTTGGTTCGAAAGGCTACCAGAAGGCAGCATCGCCTCCTGGGCACAATTGGTAGAGGCGTTCGTGACAAGGTTCAAGACGAACACAAAAACACCAGTAGAGATCGACCAGTTACTCTCCATTGACATGGGCGACAAGGAAACGTTGAGATCCTATAACAGTCGTTATTGGGAAACCTTCAACCAAATTAGGGATTGCCTTACACACCTCGCCATTGCACAATACAAACGGGGTTTGCCAATCGGAAACAAGTTGAGAGACTTGATTACTATGACGCCACCCCTCACTATGGAGGCCTTGATGGAAAAAGTGCACCAGCATATTCGGGTGGAGGAAGATGGCACCCGTGCTAAAGTAAAATCTGGTGCAACAGCAGTGCCAGATAAAAAGTCTATAGCAAAAGTCAATACGGTAGAACGACCGAGTAGGAATGGGCAAGGCAAGCGGGCCAACAGTGAGGACCCAGACAAAAGGTGGTTAAGAGTTCGCACTGCCATTACCACGATGTTCAAAAAACCAATCTACCGGATTCTCAATAAGATACGCGGAGAACCTTTCGTCCGATGGCCAGTTGTAACAACCCTCGCTACTGTTTATCGATTAACCACTGATTACCGTTAAACTGAAACTGATTATGAATGATAAGTGAACTGAATAAACTACTGAACTGACTGACTGAAATTGAAACTGAATTGACTGAGTATACCTGTTTAATTGTAATTCTATTTGTTTGGTTAAATTGCGAATTGTGTGAGTAATTTTCTGACCACACTGCTCGCCTAGTAATCAGCTAGAGAGCACCGGCATAATAGATGGCTTCAGCAAACCTGTAACAGAAAGAAAAGGCTCCGGCGGTGGCTCTTCCACCCGGGAGCACTCCGACGATCAAGTCAGTATATCTTTCAAAGATAATCAAGTGCTAAACTCAATACTCAAAGTATAAAACTGCGTACCTTAGACCCACGGGGGTGCCTCTCTTTTATAGCCAACTCAATCCTAGTCCCACTAGAAGCATGACTTCTATGGACTCCCATTCAGTGCTTACTGTGGATTCCTCAAGAGATAAAGATAAACTCCCTAAGAGTTTTATCCTTATCTTAGCAAAGTTTTCTCTTTACTCTAGGATTCTTGCCCCTTATCCATTATCCGCTTATCTCGGATTCCGATATCTTCGGAGGCAACCTCGGCCTAGCCAAGATAACCTTGGCGTCACAACCAGGACACGTGGCACCTCGGCTGACACGTCGGCGTCACCTTGCCACGTGTTGGTATTCAGAAAATACATCCCCACAACTGCCCCCTAGGTTCTATTACCTCGGTATTCTAAGGTGATGGAACCTATATCTATATTGTCTTCCAGTACCTCGGCGTAAGAACTCTTCGGCCGAGATCATTCATGTCAAGCCGATATGTCTTGTTTTCAAGAACAAGAATAAGAACTCAAATGAACTTTTCCACGCGCATGAGCTGTCATGCATCACTTCTCAACCGTTTCCTGCACACGTTTCATCTTTATTGGCCCATGCCTGTGACGTGCTTGTAAGCCGTCTTAATCTGTCTGCGCTGTCTGACGCATGCGATGTTCTAGGCGCATTAAATGCCCTGTTTTGCCGCCGTTTCAAGTTTTGAACAAAACTTTGTTTTTTCCCTTTTTCTTTCCTTACCTTTGTATTCGATTTACTTGATTTCCTCTCTCTAAAGCCTTTGCTTCTTGAATCCGCCATTGCTAAGGCTCCAAGTTCTGCAACCGTCCTCGTTCGTCTTTCTGGTGAAGCTTTTATCACTCTGGTACTTCAGTAACCGTCGTCTATCTTCGGCGAATTCTATTCCGGCTTCATTTTTTCTAGTAAGCAACTATTCCTTCTGATTTCAATTCTTGATCATTTCTGGAATCTCCTGTTTACCACTGCCTTGCTCAAATATCTATTTTGTGAATCATACATTTGAATGTGTTTACTCCTTGATTTGGCCCTTGCCTATATCTTGAACACACGCATCGTTGCACCACTACACTGTATTTTTGCCACTGATCTTGGTCCTTTATTTCTCGTATTCTTCATGTTCTTGATAGCCCATCCCTGTTCTTGTTTCTGAAATTTCGCCTTTGTTTTCTGTTTTTTGTGTCTTTGCCAGATCTTTACCTTCAATTTTTGCTTTCAATCTTTGCCTTCATAGATTTAGGTTTGGGATTTGTCTATAGAACCTATCAATTCTTAGGAAAAAACGGAAACAATCCTTACTAGCATATACCTAGGGTTTCGCCGAGGTCCTGATAACCCCTTAAGAGCATCTTCTTTCTGAAACCTAGACCTTTGATTTTAGGCCGACGTTATGGATATGTGGAGCCATAGGGTAGACACCCCGACCAAACTTGAGTACTTTAGGCAAGAGTTCTCTATTCCTGCCGATGTCCATCTGAGGCTGGCTGAAGATAACGACTCCATCATGCCCACAGATGATTCAATGCCCTTTCCCATAGTAGCTTTTACTGAGTGCGGACTCCGGCTCCCACTTAACATTCTCTTTCGCGAAATTCTTCACTTTTACAAGTTGAACCCTATGCAACTTACCATAAACTCTTATCGAGTGATCAATGGCATCATAGTTTTAGCTAGGCAGGAGAATGCTAGGATCACCCTTGCCGACATCCAGTACTGTTATACCATGTGCCCCCTTAACCTGAAGGAAAAAGGCTTCGTTT